AGTGTCAAGTCTTTTAGCCTCTTCAAACACCTCGGCTTCTGCCCAAACTTGAAAAAGGCTTGCTCCCATCAAAGAGACGCAGGAACAACTCATCTCAGTGTCATCTTTTTATTTCTCTTTTCTTTTGTCTTTAAATCACTTCACTTTTCAATACAAGACCACCATGATTTGTTTGAGTGGTCAGAGTAGACACACCAAGCAGGTTGAAAACCTACAAACAAATGAACCAAAATTACTTGCAGATTATAGTGAACAAAATAAATTTCCAAACAATATTAATTTACCATTAAGTTATCAGTGAATAAACAAACAAACACATTCCATAAACAAGACTGATTAGGTTTTCTGAATGCAGGTTAAATGGTTTGATGTTCAGTCCCTACCAGTGGCGTCTCTGTGGAAATTTGGAGCCGAGTTCTTTGTCTGAAGGGATGATTCAGAACACAGGTGTGCCGAGTTACTTTATAGGTTTCTGATGGGCCTGAGAAGGGATGGGTGCGCTTGATTTCTGGTGAGGCGCGTGCCAGTTGGGTGGAGATGGTAATGCACTCACATATACACCATTTGCTGTTTTAACTTGACAATAAGAAAATCTTAAATTAAACCAACCTACCCTCTTCAGGACCAATACAGTCAAACAATGCAGGATGATGTCAAACGTTTCACTCCTATCGCTTGTTTTCACAATCATTTCAGTGTGAATGATGACCCTACACTCTTACTTTTGACTAAATAAGGTTCTAGTACAACAATTATTACATCTAAATAAGGAAATTGACTAAAACATACAAAACAGCAGTAGAGAACATGAGGAGGTTTCTTCTGATATTCAGACTTCAATCCTAATGGAGTTACACTTGTTGGAGAGAAGAGTTGCACCTTCTTTTTGAAGATTTTTCTTTTTGCAAATCCCCAAAACAAGGTAATATGTGTTAGAAAGGCATCAAGTTTTATCTCAAAAATGCTACACTCTGGATAATTTGGGTATAACAGATGCTAATATGAACTGAAAGGTTAATAAATGTTGAGTTAAACATCCAATAATAAGTTTCTTCAGCCAACTGTATTTGAAAATGTGAACTCTTTGTTATATACATCAGACAGCTATTGAATGTATATAAAGCAACTTTTCCATGGTAACCTGTTAACAGCCTTACGGTGAATCTGGTTGGTGAATAACAGCTGCTAGTTGTTTAAGATCAGCAAAATATGGCCAATAATCTCTTGCAAAAACTGCCAAGAATGGAAAACCTGAAATTTTAATAAAATGTAATGTTCTTTATTTTTGTAGTTAAACAGCTGATTGTATTTTTGTCACAGAGTCTGAATGTGTCACCCATAACCTCAAGTCATAAACTCACATAAACATAGTAGCATCAGCCAAAGGATCTGTTGTTTTTAAATTGCTGAATTATTTTTAAACCAAAGAGAAAAAGCCATGGGATTAGAAAAAATCTCCCTTCTTTCCATGTGCCTGATTTTGTGCTTTCATCTTCGACATATGAAGAACAGAAAACTTTGAGTAGTTTCCAGGCAACAAAGGAAAGCTAATTGTGTATCAAACCACAGTAGATAGTCGACAATATCAAAATCTGAAAAAAAGGGACAAAATATATGAAAAGTAAAACCATATTAAATCATATTTCATTTGTCATTAGCCACCACTTGTCTAATTATTTCTAACGAGGCTGAGAAAGGTAGAAATTAAAAAGCTGGTAGATGTAGATGAAAAAAGCAGGAAGAAGCAGCATTAATTATTTATTTGGTTATGATGAATTTATGAAGCATTCAGAATCAGTTACAGTTGCAGAAATTAACTCCGGCACAGAAGGTTGCAAAAGGACACAACCAGCTGCAATTCACTCCTGGGTAAATATTTCAACTATTCTTTTTCTTAAACATTTGCTCTGCAGAGACCTGCTCCATACCTGCTGCTGGTTACATGGATGGATGTTAGTTTCATCACACTCTTTAATACAGAAGCTATTCAGCATACAAAACATTCAAAAAGATTTTATATTTTTCATAAAGTCAATCATGAGATAATGAAATTATGAACAGCTCAACACAAGTATTCATCCACATGTCAATGAAAATATGTTTGCTTTTTTAAACTACATGCAAATATCTTCACTGTTGTTTATAAGTGCACATAAACACATGTGCACTTAGGTTATGGCATTTTGTGCCATAACCTTAGGTGGATATTGTATTTGATAGATATAAGAAAAGCTGTTTTCACAGACTAAAACATGGCATATCAGAAGCTCAAATATGAATTTTCTTGTTTGCTGTTGTTGTTTTGCTCAGCTATAGGTGAAGGTTGTCTGCAATATTTACATGTTTACTTTTAAACGCCGAAGGGGCTTCTGCAGCTCACTGTGCCTCAGGCTGAGTGGAAATGATTCAGGTGTAGAACATGGCAGGTATTTGACTATATAAACACGGAGCAGAAGTGTTGCTAACATAAGTAAATTAAACCATAAGAAATAATGAATATGAAATATCTATCAATGACTTAAGGCTTAAGTTATTGGTTTCAGTAAAATATGCCAGTGGCTCCGTCCAGGAAAAGTTTTACAAATATCTCAAGCAATACTAGATGTTTAATTGGGAGAATAATCAAAACAAAGTCCATGTAGTTAATGTAAAAAAGCTACATTTATGTTATAATAAGAAATATCCAACTCAGGTGTATTCTATAGTGCTGAAATGTTGCAACAAATGTCATCTCAAGGCACTTTACAAAAAAAACTGATTCAATTCAATCATAAATACATTTCATTATTTGTATATTATAGTCAGATTTTATTTATCTAAAGCTAAAATTAGATATTTCCTCTGAAAACATCCAGATGCAGGAACTTATTTGATTGATTATTCATCCATAATCAGAAAACAGTGTTAAAATAATAACTAAATAAACAAAGTTATTGCAAAATCACAAGCAAATTACCAAAAAGCTGAATATTTTTGCAAAAACTAAACATGGATGTGTACATAAAGAAACCTCTTCCTCTTTACCAAGTCACTGCTCTTTGATTCTGTGAAGTTACAGAGCAAAAAACATGCCAAACACTTGTTGCCCTGTACATATGTAACTTGCTTGTAGAGCAACTTGAAAGACCCAAAGATCCAAGCCATGTTTTATTGACCCTGTAAAGCTGAGACCGCCTTCAAAACGCTCGCAGAGACACTTCTGGACAACCCAGGAGCTGCTCAGGTCGACACCTCGTGCACTCTGATATTTTGCACTCTTTCTCCCGCAGTCAGACTCCACGGGATCCTGTTCTCTCTCCCGATCACGTGAAATCATGCCTGCAAGCCTCGCGCTCACATATGTTCACTCATGTTTTATTATGCACACAGAATCAACATCAAACACTCACACTCCAACACAGATGTTTTTACATCTCTCTCAGACAGTTTTATCCCCCTTCCACACACACATGTGGTCATGCATATTTCATCCTGCTCCTGTGTTGCACCGTTACTGACCGCTCATTCATATTCAGAGTCAGCTAGTAACTAGTTACATTTACTCAGATACATTTACCTGAGTAGCTTTTTGGAACAGATTTACTTTTAGGAGTATTTTTACTGCGCTGCCCTTTTTAATTTTTCTTGAGTAATTTTATTATGAAGTATTTTTACTCTTACTTGAGCAAAATGTCTGGATTTTCTACCCACTGAATGAAAAACAAATGTTTTAATCAAAAATCCACCAGACAGACACAAACACCTGCAGTTTTTGTTCAAACTTCAGAAGTTTTATATTGAAAGAAACTGATTTGGAAAAATGTTTCTTTAGCCTGATTTTGTTATTTTGTAATTATGTTATTTATACATAATTATCATTTTGGTCTTTAAAATATCAACATTTCCACATAACTTTATATTTTGGTCCAGCTGATGAGGTAATCTTTAAATATTAAATGATTAATATTTTGATTGTTAATCAGTGGTTGAGTCGCCTTTTTACCAAATAATTTCTTACTCTTGCTTTATTAATTTTGTGGACGGCTACTTTGACTTTTACTTCAGTAAAAATATGTTGAAGTAGTGCTACTCTAATTTTTGGGTACTCTGTCCACCTCTGTTCATGTTACTCCATCAGTAACTCGACAGATTTGGGAGCTGTATTCACAAAGACAAAACCTTCTTGTTTCAACAGATGGGTTGATTCAGGCAAAAAAAAAGAGAAAAAATCTGTTTTTTCTTCTCTCTGTAAAGTATTTTTTATTATTTGCCTTTTCTACTTGACCTAATTTATAACTTTTCCTTCACTTTTTCTTGATTTTGTCTCTTGCCGTCTCCCTTTTCCCCCCATCATTTTTCATCCTTCTCCTGCACTGTTCTCATTCTTCACCTTTCTGACTTTTCTTCGTCAAACAGGAGGTGCTGCCAGACAGGAAGAGAGTGACGAGCCGGAGCTATCTCCCCATCACTCCAGTTGACACCGACAGCGGCAGCAATTTCACCTGTGTGGCCAGCAATCCAGCAGTGCCAATGGGCAAACGAGCCACTGTCACTCTCAACGTCCACCGTACGTTGCTGCTCTCCTCTGTTGTTGAGAGTTAAAGGACCCAGTCAGCTGGACGAAAACGAAAAACAAAGCAAAGCAGCTGTAATGATAATTTTTAAGACTGCCATTAAGCTCTATTTTTTAATAGAAATGTATTTCTTATAAGCTCCACATTTTTTTAGGCATCTTACAATCCCAACTTGTGCTAAAATCATTTATTTTATCATAAAAAAAGAGTCCTTGAAAAGGTCTGAGCATCACGCAGGCTTTGAGCTGTAAAAGCTTGATTATTTTTTTGTGTAGTTGATTAAAAATAACTTGGTGATAACATTTGGATTTTTTTTTTTTTTACATTCACTCAACTAATTATGCAGGTTTTGGAAATAGCCATATCCACAAGGGCACAATTATTTTAACCCATAAAGACTTAGAAGATCCTCTTTTATTGTGATTGCAAGATCTCACACTGGACAATTATGAAAATACAACCTTATTTAGAGTAGGGTAGTAGTTTTTATAATGGTTATTGGGTTATTAGCCAGTTATTAGTAGAATTATTGAAAGTCCTAACAGTTCACTATATATCTAAAGCAATTATTAAAGATGTAATTTTTAATATATTCTGAAAGTGTCGATGAATTTATTCATTTATTTTGCGACAAAAGTGAATATGTAACTAGATGGTTCAAAATCAGAAGTCAAGGAAATAGTTATGCCTTTTAAAGAAGGATATTTTGTTAAACTTGTTTCTAGATAAAATATAGTTACAGCCTAGTAGATGAAGTACATTAATGCCCAATTAAATCTAAAATATGTCTTATTTAAAATTATTGCTAAACAAACTCTGATGTACGCTTTAGTGCATCGACCCACCCTAAAAACACTTATAACTACCTATTTTAATAACTGAAACATCAAATATACCTTAATATGAATTAATAAGCACAATAGAAACATTACTACAGAAGCTAATATTTACAGTCTTCCTTATTTTTGCTCTTGGGGGTTCAGCCAATCAGCGCCAAGGAAATTGTGCAGCTTCTAGATTGAATGTTTTGCAAATGCCAGCCAATAGCAGGTCAAACAGCAATGTGCTTCTTGACAAGTTGCATTTCCTTTTTAATATTTTAAAAATGTGCTACAAAAATAAACGTGAATAACTTGGATTTACATTCCACAGAAAAATCTGAAGAGTAGGGCGTCCACTGTATCCATAAGCAATCAAACATATTATTTCAGGAAGTAATTTTACCGTAATATTTTGAAAAGCAGTAAAATTTAGAGTGAACTATATGTTGTGTAGCTAGACACCAACGTGTTAAATACGTCTCAGGAATTCAGCATTTTTTATGTTAAACTTGTTGGCTTGTTTGACTTCAGTTCAGGTCCTCATTGATTTATGCAAAGGAAATAAGAGATTCACTCTGTCAATTTCTGCTTACAACAGACTCTGCATCTGTATCTCCCCCTGTGCAGACCCTCCCACTGTGACCTTGTCCATCGAACCTCGCTCTGTCCTGGAGGGAGAAAGAGTCACATTCACCTGCCAGGCCACCGCCAACCCGCCCATCATGGGCTACAGGTCTGATTGATGACAACTCTCATGTTTGCACAGATGGTGAAATGAAAATTCAAGCGATTACCCTGGGGAAATACTAAAGTTAGACAGTGCCACTGACCCCGTAAGGAAGCCTCTATTATTAAAAGAAGAAGAAGCTGTGCTACTGACCTGATGCCGTGAAAGCAAATTTGCATTATTGTCAGTGATTGCAAAACTAAAAGAAAATATATGAATGTACAAACAGAACATGTAAAACGTATCCTAAGTGACTGGTTTTTGAAATTTTTTTTTTAAATACAGTGCTGTGAAGAATATTAACTGACATTAAAAACAATGTTAATATCAGTTAAAAATAAATGCAGTTTTAAAATATTGGAATATTAATGGAAAAAAGGCTTTCCAAATTAACATGGTCATATGTGGAAAGTAATTGCCCTCTTAAACCTAACAACTGGTTGTGCTGTCCAACAACCGCCGTCAGGAGGTTGTGTTATCTTATATTTTATAACTTTGGAAGAATTTACGCCTGCTATTTATGCTTTAATTCATGCATATTGGAAGGTTTTGATTGTGAACAGCCTTCAAAGTCATATATCGAAATTGACATGACGCAAGCCTTGCCTCCAGGCGAAAGTAGAGCAAAACTATGACAGCGTTATAATGGCATAGTGGAACTCAATGCGTTTACATTCCAGTCCGGTAGGTGGCAGTAAATACACCTGAAGTTTGTTTGCCATCCCGCAATAAAATACAAAAGAAGAACTCAATACATTACCCCAGATATTTTTTGAGTCATTTTTGTCTTATTAGCCAACACTGAGAAAAATCGACAGGCAAGAAAATTCCCCAAGGAGTTCTACATCAGGTCTGTAAGGTTATTTGCGGAAAACAACGGAGAAATAAATGACAAAGCAAAGTCTTTGGCAGCCAGAGGAAGAATGAGGGCCATAGTGTAAAAGCTAACACTTGACGCATTTTGCACGTACAAAAGAGGTGAGTAATGACAGAAATAATATCTGCTGGTGACACTCGGTCTTCACAAATTGCTTAAAAATAAATATTAGCATAAAAATGTGCTTAAATGTAAATAACAGTTGCTGTGTTATTTACTGGCATAGAGCTACTATTGGAATGCACACTTAAAATCAAGCATCACTTATTGATCTTTGATTTGACTATCAATAAGTGACAAAAATCGGATGTTTATGATTTACCTTTCTGCAGACGAACGTGGTAGTTTCCGTTGATCACAGTGAATTGAACTGGACATTAGGTGGCTGCAGGCCTTGATCCATTTCTTGCATTATTCCAGGCTACGTTTGTGTTTTGGAAGTGCAATAAATTATATTCCACTCTCTAAACGGCTGTCGGAGTTGCATGTTCCCCACTGGCAACATTTAACCATGATTTCCTATTATTATTTTCCTCGAAATCTCTCTGACCGCAGCGCCTTGGCGATAACTAACCCCGGGAATGTTGAGGGAAGTTCAGTTCCTCCTGATAATGGGCGTGCACTTCCGGACAAATTGCAACCGCGATTAGTCAGTTGCTGACAAACACCCTTGAATAATTGATAGGTGGCTTCCTACCGTATCAATTGGATTTGGGTCTGGAGTTTAACTGGGTCACTCCGAAATTGTCGTTTTGTTCCTTTTTGGTTTTGTAACCCTTTACAGATTAATAAACATCAATAATCTTCACATTTTTTTGCATGTTTTATTCTTTCTTTAGATGGGGGTGCAATGTGCTGCTTTGAGACCGTTAAGCCTACTTCATGTTGTCACACTGGTTCTGTTTGAGTGTTTGTTTGTTTTTTAATTCTACAGATGATGTAGTCACTAGGGTAGATAAATTAGTTTCTCCACATTAGGGCAGATTGGTTTGAATAGCCTCTTGCCCTCATCTATGACATCCTTATTTGGAATCTAAATTGTTGAATTTAGACTGACTGAAATATGTTTGACTTGAAACATTTAAGTGTAGCAAAATGACAAATCTATAAGGGGCAAATACTTTTTCACAGCACCCTATTTGTTCAGCAAATTTTACCAGCCTTTGGAAACAATTCCTAAAAATATCCTTCCCTCTGCCAACCACTGCAGCCTAGAGGTCTAAATGAACTCATATCTGCATTTGGCTTTAATTGTAGCTCAAGATATGAGGAAGGTTTTGATGTTGGTGGTCCTGCAGTGCAACATTAGCAGCCTGATCGGATGATCAATGCCAATGGGTTTCCTTTCATCTACTCCAATCTGCTCGTGTTCACTCTGAGGAGCTGCTCCTGAATTGTAATTTCTGCTTAGAGAACAAAATTTGTGAAACTATTGAACATTTTGTGTAGCCGAATGGAGAGTTTTATCGTAAGCGACATCTCCGAAGTACTGAAAGTGCAAAAAATAAGGCTGAGGTCTGAAACTCTATCAGAGAGGGTCCTGATGTGGGAACACTGCCAGGTACTTAGGCGCAGAGCCTACAGAATGCGCATTAAAATGTCATTCTGTGGAGAATGTGCAATATGGTGATATGATTTTCAGCTAGATATTTGGCAAGCAACCATATGGATTTCAGAAATTATTCTAATTTATTGCAGAGTTTCCCTTGAGCATGAGAATCGAGTCATATTTTCTTTTATATTCATACAGTGAAAATCCCACATTAAGATCCTCACACAGCTTCTGAAATTCCCTGCAGGCAGCCCGACTTAGTAATGATTTGCAGCCGTGTGAAACGTGTTAAAGGGTGTTGTGTTTTTCTCCGCCAGGTGGGCTAAAGGTGGCGTGCTGCTGGAGGGGGCCAGGGAAAGTGTGTTTGTCACCACAGCAGATCATTCATTCTTTACTGAGCCCGTGTCGTGTCAGGTGTTCAACGCAGTGGGAAGCACCAACGTCAGCATCCTCGTGGACGTGCACTGTGAGTCAATAGTAAACACTCGTGTGCTGAGGAGGACAATAAAGCTGCGTCTCACATAAGAAATCAAGTTATAGCTTCGGTTTTACTTAAAAAAATAAAAGGCTTAATGAAGTTGCTGACAAACCATATGATATTTGTAGTTATGTGGTGTAATTCTGATGACCCTCGTATTAAGTGACAAAAGAGTTCATCTAAAATAATTGGTTTAAAGCTTTTAAGTCTCGTTCAAAACATTTCATAAGCTAATTCCAGAAGCCTTATCAATTCTAATTATAACTTTTATGTGTATCTGAGGTGATTTTAATGATTTTAATGAAGGAGCACTTCTGGTTTGTCCAAGATTCAACCATGTAACTGTAGACTTAGGGCTGACTCACAGCGGTCTGTTTAGTCTACTTTAATTGAACTCTAGTTTGTCTAGAAAGTTTGGTCCGTTTGGGGAGGTGTGAATGCGCAATTGAACTCTGATGCGGACCAAATAAGCAAACTCTGGTCCGCCTAAAAATCTAGCTGTCGGTTTCGGTTAAAGTGAATTCTGGTGCAGAGCGAATGCATCTGTGGATGCAAGTGGACCAGAAACTGCTCCGAAATCAGGAAGTGAAGTTTAGTGCAGGACATTCTGAGTAAATATATCCAAAACTAACATGACAGTTTAGCACTAGCGGAAGAAATAGATTGTGGTCTTTTGCCAATAATGAAATAGAACTTCTACAATCGCTAAAATCTGACAGCACTTCACTTTTATTTAGATTTTGCAAGGAAGGAAGTTGCGCTCAGTGTCTTCTTCAGTAGTTATTGGTGCAGCACCATTACAGTTTCATTTGACACAGTGCAGTGGAAATGTAACAAATGTTGCAGTTTTGGTCCCTAATCAAATTGAGTCTACTGTACTGTAGTCTTCCTCCTTATCCATAGATCTTGTCATTGTTCTCATATAGCTCAGTCTTTGTTTCGTCTGATGATAAACCCTTTCCCCACAAAGTATATGGCTTGTCTTTGCATTCAGGTGAAAATTTTATTAAGTTGCTGTGTGATCTTTACACTCCTGAAGAAAGAGCAGTTAAATTCATCCCTAAAAGCCTCAATTTCATATTATAATTTCAATTTTGACAGTATTTAGCTTCATGAACACTGTGCATCTTTTCAAAATAAAGAAGAAACAGTATTTAATTTTCTTTATTGTTAAGAGTTTGTAGTCAGTTGATGATAATTAAGCTTGCTTTTCTTTTGAGAATGTAACCCTTTTTTGTCGTTTGTTTTCTTTTTTCTTTAGTTGGTCCAATTCTGGTGGTGGAGCCCAGACCAGTAACAGTGGATGTGTACTCAGATGTTACTTTGAACTGCAAGTGGGCTGGAAACCCTCCTCTTACCCTCACTTGGACTAAAAAGGGCTCCAGCATGGTAAGAGCACAGCATGGAAAAAAAGCCTCAATAACTGCACATCAACAGAATGTATACATTTATATTATTTATGTCCCCCCACAACTTCCAAATGGGACGAAATACACTAAACTTACCAAAACCTATAGTCACAGCGATAACTAATATAATGAAAATGGTAAGGGAGGTAGAAAAAAACAATCTCCAAAGCTTTTTGTTTGAGACTTAAAGCTAAGAGAGGCATCTTAGGGCCACCAAGTCTCTATAGAGGGAATCTATTTCAGTGCTTTTGCACACATCCCCAGCAGGAGTTCCAATAATTCTGGAAGGTACTGAAGAATTTGGCTTCACTGCGCATTAAGGAGGCAGATTTCTGAAGTGTTTGCTCACTTAAAGGACTTACTATTAGTTCTGAGACTTCTAAATCTTTAATTCATGCCCCAACCATTTAAGAAAAGGCTTGGGGAAAAAACCTAATGGAGCCTGCTGAGTGAATCAACATGTTTTATGAATTAAACATAGATCCTCCTCCTTCCATACTCCTTCTCTTTATTGTTCCCTTCCTGAATATCTTTACATCACAACCAGCTGTCTTGTTCTTTATTTATGTGTTTCCAGGTTCTCAGCAACAACAACCAGCTGCATTTGAAGTCAGTGAGCCAGGCCGATGCAGGCCAGTATGTCTGCAAGGCCATCGTGCCGCGCATCGGAGTGGGAGAGATCGAGGTTACGCTTACTGTCAACGGTCAGTTCATATCTGCACACGCTGCTATTTATAGTCATGCTGATATTAGCAGAAACATGGAGGGTGTAAAACAGATCTACCCTCACGGAGCTGAATTTTGAACATGTGCCAAGCTGGAAAGATGAATAATTAAACCACTTAGACCTCCATGATCTCTGTTTGGTGTCGTTATGTTATTCTCAATATATTATTTTTCATATGCCTGTGTTGCTTAGTTCACATTTGGTCAACTTTTAAATTTTTAAGATGTTTTCCAAAACATTTTTTCATACATAATTGTCAAAACCTGAATGACAGCAGTGGACACCTCCGCTTCATGGTTCAGTACTCATGGACTCATCTTGGACAGATTTTATTTGTTTTTGTAGAGCATAACTTAAAATTATTTGACAGCATATGTATTTGAAAAAAAATGCAGCTTGAGAAGCTAAATACCAATGTGCAATGCTACTTGACAAGCTAAAGCAGCAATCCAGTATTTTAATTCATTTTCCTTGGGACTATTTGGTTTTAAGCCTAAGAGCGAAGATAAGAAAGACTGTAAATATTAGCATCTGTTCAGATGTTTTTATGTTGTTTCCTTCAATAGTTCTTGATGCAGCGCCCCCGCAGGCAAGATAGTGAACTGGTTGCTCAAACCATTTGGTTTGTTTGACAGTGCAGTGTGAAAGTGAACCTCACCATCTGAAAATGTAACAAATAATGCAGTTTTGGTTCCAAATAGAACCCAGTCTACCAGACTATCAGTTGTGAAAACATCAAAAGATAATAAAAGTGCAAGGCAACGAATTTTTAGCTCTTAAATTAAATGCAGGTCAAACAGTGGTTTGGGTGGCAGAGCAGGTTGGCTGCAGACCTGGAGGCTTTCAGTTCAAACCCCACTCCCTTCCTTCCCAGGGACAATCAAGGGGGCAGGAAGGGCATCCAGTAAAACACGTCTGCCAATTCAGAGCGCATGCAGCTGTGGAATGAATGAGGCTGTGGGGCAAAAGGACAACAACAAATTATGTTTGTTTTAAATGATGCAGGAGGGGTTCCAGATCTGACTTTATTTCAGATGTGTACGAGTGACTATAAAATCTAAAAGTCCAGTGCCTCAAAGAAATATTCATACAGGTTAAGCTTTGTGGTTGTAAAGTATAAAAATGTCACTCTTATGCTGTAGGCTACCACAGAGTAGATGACATGGTTCTCTAAATTTTTAACAAATTTTAAAAAGTTAGTATGACAAGAATTGAGCACTGTCATTCTGAGACACTCACCACCCAGTCTTGAGTTGGAGTTATTTTTCAAAGAAGAATGAGCAAAAATCTTGAGACGTGCAGAGCTAGTGGAGATACTCTTACAAAAAAAAAAACACAGTTTTAATTCCACCAAAACTCAGAGGATTGAATACAAAGTAAGCAGCACTTGTCATATTTTCATTTGTAATCAGACATTTAATATCTCCTTCTGTGTTGTGCAGATTTAATTGAGGAACCTATTTGTAAAGTCTACAGATGATTATTTGGTGATTTTCTGCAGTTCTGACAGGTGAAGGCAACAATTTTGCTGCGCACAGTATTAAATGTGAATAGGTTCTGTTGACGTTGCCTAACCTGTTCCTCTGCAACGCTGGTCCAAACTGACAAAATACAATAAATATTTCCTCCAGCCCAATATTTTGCAGAAGCCAGTATTTTAATATCAGCTAGCTTCATGATTAAACTTATTTGAAACTACAAAACCTAATCCCCCAATTAAAAAAGACTTAAAGATGACCTGTGTTTCTTTGAACATATTAGGAAAGGTCTATGGGTTATACAAAATATGTTCATTACATTTTTTGCCCAAAATCTTTCTTGAATAACAAGATTTTAGCTTACTGAGTTCTGCATGTTTTGAGCTACTTTCAGAATGAGCTGTTCAAGGACCTCCTGTCACTTTAAATCCACATAAGCTGCTGCTAGCCACGCCCCACACCTCAACGTTTACACTCGTATGTGAAAATGGCTGCTAACGGATGTGCAGTTTTACAGCTGTACATCTTTGAAAAGCAGAAGTAGAGCCTCCTGCACAAACAAGAATGCAGCAAGTAGTTCTTAGGTAGTAAGTCAACAACAAAACATTTGTCTTTTCCAGCAGCCATTGTACGGTGGTAAAACCAGCTGACTAAATGCCCTGCAGTTCTGCTGGGGTTGCTAGGTGAGAGGGGCAGTGCCAGCTGATTTGTGACGTTACATATGGAACACCAAAAAACTTCTTGCCAAAAAACATCTGGATGTCCTAGAAGCAAATGGAAGTACAAAAATATGCAAAATATTAATTTTGCACAGTAGGTCCCTTTTAATATGAACAGAAACATCACAATATCCACTTCCTTTTAGTGATCACACAAATCCGGCTGCATCCTCTAAGAGGAGTTATTCATACTTTAGCAGAGAGAAGTCACTGCATATAACATCAGCCGGCCCGGCACAGCTAACCATGTGCGACAGCTTTTGCTGGGTCAAGACTGCAGTTGACACTTGGTTAAACACTGCCCTGCCACAGATACTCATGAGCTTAGCTTCGGATTTATATCTCAGCTTTGGATTTCCCCTGCTGGTTTCACAGCTGCTTTACTGTTTTGTATCAAGCTTGATCGGATCATATCGGGCTTTAATTGTGTGCCCCCCCGCAGCAGCCGAGTCACGTCCTTGTAACTTTTATTTAGTCTTGTCTCATCACAGAACAGGAGACTGTGTCACAGTCACTGCATTCACACTGTTTTATTCAGGTTGACAGAGAGCGACAGCGCTGCTGTAAGCAGATTTTATGTGACTTTGCTCAAAGTGTCGGTAAAACCAACAAATTACACAATCTTGCCTCTGCTGGAGTTTCATAAGTTGCTTTTGAAATAATAAACATTTTTGTGGAATAATCAGACTTAAAGGATTCTGAATTTATGTCCCAGATTGTGGAGAAAAGAAAAATGTCTGAACAGGTTTTTTTTTTTTTTTTTTTCTGACAACTTGCTGCCGTAAACGTTCAGTGATTATTCCTTCACATTCAGTTAACAATGCTCTGACACTTCGAATGCAGGGGGTTCTCTGACATGATACTGACTGTTATGTTAGCACCATTTACCAAATGTAAGAGATGTGAAAGGCCCGAGGCAGCTTGAATGTGCAAAAAGGGAAAAAAAAATGTTTAGCAAAGTCTGCTACACTTATTTGATCCAAAACATTGGAGGTAAAAGTCTTACAGGTGAGCATTTCAGATCTGTTTCCCAGCAGATGTTTCAACTTTACGGGTAGAATAAGCTCAGAAGAACTGATGAGATGCATTTCCTGAAGAATAATCATTCTGCACAAGTGGATTGCAGCTCTTTTTTGTATGTCCTTGCTTGTTGGCTGACTGAGTAATTCAATAGCAAGGGCCATGCCAGAACAGTGTCACTTTAAAGGATTTACTCAAGAGAGATGAAGACGTTGTAGAAGACAAAAGTTGGTACATTTTGATAGAATCATCTGGAGTCTTTCTGCTGAAAGCTACTGAGATTGAGATACAAATGGGGATTCTGTCTCAGGAAATCCATTTCCTAAGCAAAATAAGGAAATCCCAGATTTCTACCTATGGAAAATGTTAAGAAATATGAGGTAAAGGAGGTAAGGAGATGGGGATGAGGAAGGGATGTTAGGGGAGATCTGGGTGATGTATGAAAGATTATTGGTGGAAGCATAGAGATGCAGGATAAAGTTAAAGATGAGAGAGGAAGGAATAAGGTCTGGTGAATAAGGTCTGTATCAATGAGGGAGGTGTGTTTGAGAGAGGATGGAGGTTGGGATGAAGAAAGGGGGGGAATGAGGACTGAGGTAAGTGGAGATGAGTAACAACAGAGATGGATATGGGGACTGAAGGGAATTAGGTAAGGGATATGAGTTAATGGGCCGGGATACTTGGGAGGCAGACTCGATGCAGACGTCCACCAGACACCACATGGTCTACCGTGTACGCGTAGTCTGTGTCACAGTAAACTGCTTGATGGAAAACAGTGTCAAATTGTTTTGTATGCAACACCGAGCTCATAGGGTACAGAGTATAGGGTGGTACAGGAGTGGATTCTCCTGTCCCATCAAACTCTCAGAAAAAATATTTATTCAATCCCGATCCTGGGAAAGAGTAAAAACACAAAATTTCTGTCCCATCCCTCTCCGGTAAAATGACTCCCGCTCTTTTCTCGCTCTGATTGTTTTTCTTCATTTATTCTTTCAACACTATATTTTATCAGGTCATACTCCTGTAAAATGAGTCTACTTTAATCTTCATCTAGTTACAGCGAACTATCAAAATTGCCACAGTCATGTAATATCCAATATCCAGCATGTTTTTCCATAATAAGCTCAGGAACATATCTATGTTGGAACAAAAGTGAATCTGGATTGAACATTTCCCAGCAAAACTGAAACTTTGGTGAGAACCTCATGTTGCCAGCAGCGTCTGGCACCATCCACCTGACCTCTCCCACCAGAAGTCGAGAAGAGACTGGAGGCGTATCAGCTCAGTCATTCATGGTTTGATGTTTGATCCTCATTGCTCTTCTTCTTTGAATCCCAGCAGAGTGCAGCCAGCGGCAGCACTGTGGGCTTCTGGGTCATGTAGTTCTTTTAAGCGTAGGCTAGGTTAAGAAAACAAAAAAAATGGCGGCACCTGTCATGGCAATTTTGTCTGTTGTATCGTTCCCCTTCCCGTCTGCTCCCTTTTTATCCTGACCATCAAAATCACGTGATTAACAAACAGTAAAATTGAATCCTATCCTGCGGGAATCTAGAAAAAATGTCAGCCTGAAGTCGAGCAACCAGTCTCAAGAGCGAATAGCGTGACTGCCGCTCTCTGCAGCCGTGACAAGTGTGCGGCGGCTGCCCACACACATCAGATTTTGACTCTAGCATGCTACTCTTTCTTTCTCCATTATGCTTTTGAATGTGATTTAACCTCGGAGCACCTCAGGTGTGTATGAGTAATCCCCTTTTCTGCCTTGTCGTGTCTCTCCCAGGCCCCCCCATCATCTCCAGTGATCCAGTTCAGTACGCTGTCAGAGGTGAAAAAGGAGGGATCAAGTGTTACATCGCCAGCACCCCCCCACCTGATAAGATTGTAAGTCCGTCCTCTGAAGCTGTAATCTTCTCTAGAGTTGCTTGACCTCTTGTGATTGCATCTCCCTCACAGGGAATCCTGATCAAAGCTCCCAGCTCACCTGGAAAACACTCTCTCTCTTTAGCTTGTGTCACTCGGGGTAAAAGACAAGATGGAGGCGACACTGTTCTCCAAGAGTGTCACTAATATGTGAGAACAAGCTGTTTCTCCTCTGTAGAGGGAGGTGGGACTCATGAAAACAGCTGCTGAGGTGTGTGTTTGAAGTCAAAGAGGATCAGACTGAAGCCAATGCAGCAGAGAAAATTAGAACAATTCAGATACAGATTCCAAAATGTTTCATTTTTAAGTGACATCGGATGAGAGCTTTCAGCCTAAAATCATCAAGTGGAGAAAATTGTTTTAACATTAAAAAAAAAAATCTTGACATCTAATTTGCAGCTTTGCAATAAATGATAACCAATTTTCCACAAATCTTTCTTCCTTTTCTTTGCCAGTAGCCCAATGCTGAAAGTAATGACCTCTACAGATGTAGTTGGTCATTTGGAACGCTTTTTAAGCAGTAACGCCTCAGTAAGTGCCGCTGCAGCATTAAGGGAGGCTAAAGTAATTTAATTAATGGAAAACAGAGTAGCTGCAGTAAGCACTAAAGGGCACCAGGTGGCAAATGTGAGTGGTCATTACAAAATAGCTGGTTGGTCCACATCCTCTGCCAACTGGAAGCAGAATTGTGTCATTTCCATAATCTACTTTTGAACTTTTGCAAAATGGAATTTATAGCCACTAATTAGAGTAGATTTTGTTTAGAAATGTACATTTAGATGATATTCACTCCAAGAAATGGATTGCACTCTGTATAGCAATTGTAAAAAGCAACTTTCTCCAGTTTGATGTTTGCATCCTTTGTACCCACATTTCACTGATTAGAAAGCCCACCTTTATTGTAATAACTTCAGAGTATTCATAGCTTTTCATACTTTCTTTTTAAAACCTTTCATTCAGGTAGATTTTTAGAAAAATGTGCCTGAGGAATATAAGCAACTTTACACATCATTTTCTCTAGATGTTTGGACCAATCTAGTGTCTGCAACTTCAGTGACCAGAGAAACAGAAGGAGAAATGACCAAAGCTCTGCACTTTGCTCCATTTTCTGCCCCCTCTGCATATGGCTCATTTCTGCACTGGAACTCCAAAGCAAACTGTAGACTCAGACACGCCAACCAAAGTTAAGCAGCTAAACTTCCATCTGTTTTTGGTGTCCGCTTGCCATTGTCCTCTCTTCAGCAGCCCTAAACATCGCAGATGCAGAAGTGATCATGGAGAGGGTGGAAAGTATTTCCTAACAGAGGTTTCCAAATGTTTTATCACTAAATGATGTGGATGGTTTCATTTCACCCCTGCAAAATTGTGAAAAACAGTAAAATGATCCATCCAGGCTTTTGGTTTCAGTCGCAGGATGATAACGTTATACTTCCACATCTCAAAGACAATCAGACAATGTCTGTGATTAACAAAATTATTTGCTAAAATATCAAATATAAAAGAGCATATCAAGTTTGCCGTATCTTTGGTCCCTGCTTTGTGTTTCTGTGTTTCCCTTTTTCTCCCCTGTCTGCATGTGACAAACAGCGTCTTAAAGAATCCAATGTAATTTGTTCTGCTGCTGCCAGACTTTGTCTACCTAGGCAAACCGTATTATCACAGAGAGGCGATATTTGCTTGGTTTAGCCATTTTTGGAGCAGATCTTCCTTTGTGTGCTGATTGAGAATTAGATGTCGTTGCAAATTCTGAATTGCAGAGATCTTGCTAAGCAGATAGCTTTGTAAATTTTCCCCCACAGCATTATAGACAAAACACAATAAGTGTTTTGTCTATAACACTTATTAATCTAAACATATACATATATAAACATATACATGTTTATATATGTTTATGTTTATATAAACATAAACGTTTATGTTTATATCTACAACATAAACGATGTAGATATCAGATACGTCATGGCAACATTTATCAATAAAAGAAGAATGACCAATACAGCGTTGCACTATGAAATAGTTTATGTTCTGAGATCCACTTGAATGCAGGAAGCTGACATTTAAACGGGGTTTGAAAACGAGCTCTGAAAGAGATCAGTGACGCTGCTGACCTGACAGCCTCGGCCGGATCCCTTCAGAGTTTAGGAACTTTGATTCTCTGTTAGCTCTCGTTTTTGGCTGGAAGAATTTACAGCTCTCTGCCGGAGGACGACAGTCTTCCTGCTGAAGACTGGGTTACCAAAAGGTCAGATGCATAAGAGGTTGATGCCAGAAAGTCAAAGGTTCAAAGTGGTATTTTGAAAACATTTTTAAATATTAATGGGAAGTGTTGCAAAAAGATATGCCCCTGGAGTTAGGATTTCTTCACGCTTAGTTTTCAATAAAAGTCTGTTTGCTGAGTTTTGTACATTTGGAGCTGATAAAGTGAATTTCAGCTTGAGACATGTGAAATAGTTCGACTTAATAAGGCAACTGCATTTTTTTATTATCCTCTGACTGCAGACTTCTCATAAAAAATAGATTAATTGTGATCCAGGTTGTCACATTTTTCTCAACTCAGTATGTCGGATGAGGCTGCATGGATTAAGAGGTATAGATAAATGATGACTAGATGTGTTGTGTTCTTCTAAACAGCTGGCAATGCGTCAAATATTCTGTGCCTACTTCCAATAATTAATGTGAATGCTTCCGGTAGAAGTTTTGTGAGGGTAATAGGAAATAAAACTCCTTGAAAAAACTGTTTATACAGCCTGAACTTCTCCAAATTTACTCACTAATCTTCTCAAACAAACCTCTGAGGCCTTCAGGGAGGGGAAGGATTTATACTGAGATCAAATTACACACAGGAGAAGTCTTTACTTTCCCTAAGAAGTAACATCTCAAAGCAACAAGTTGTTCAGGATTTATTTTGTGGTATCTAATTAAATGAGTTGAATACAAATACAAGCCACAGTTTTAGCTTTCATTTGTTAGAAAAACATGTTTTTCTGTTACTTAAAATCCCAAAATAAATCCAGTAAGGTTCTGAAAGTAGCTCAGGCGTAAGTATTCATTGTTTAATTTTGATGTATTACACAAAGGGTATGATTGAAAGGAGTGCCTCTCACATTGGCTTCTTGGAAATTTGTAATTAAATTTCCCTTCAATTTTTCAGAATAAAAATGGATTAAGCCAGGGTTTGTTTTTTGTTTTTGTTTTTTCATTTCTACCTTTTCCTGGAAATCACTGGAAGCAATGCTCGATAAAACTACAATTTATTCTGAACTGAATGTTTTATAAGATCCTGGCAGTGTAATATGTTATTGAAACCTTCGAGAGGAAAAATAGAGGAATCTTTAGCCGTAACAAAAAGAAGCAACAAAGGGAAAAAAGAATAAATCCATTATTTCAGTTTGACGTCTAGAATGAGTGAAGAGGGCTGTGGGGGAGCAATAAATTGAAATCAGAGGAAGAGGGATTGAGGGAGAGTAAAATTTTGTACCTTTCAGCGTCAATTATCCAATTGTGCAGTGCCGACGTGACAGAAATCAGAGCTTTTAGAGCGATTCAGCCCACTGCTGCACTGCCAGCGAGCCCAGAGCGTATAATGCGATACGACATCATAGTCCAGGCTTAATGCAGAGACACGGGGACTCATAAAATATGGAGTGCGGTGCTGTGTGCGTGCTTGTGCACGTGTGCAATGAGGCAATGACAGACTCAGAAACAGCAAAAAAACAAAAAATAAAAATAAAACAGACCCAGACAGAAGCGATGCAACATAATTATTGTTAGAAAGAGAGATTTAGAGGAGTCGGCAGTACAGACAGACAAAAGGACGCATTAGATAAAACTGTCAAGAAATAAAAGCGAAATATTGGCGGGATTTTGGATTTGTAACTCAATGAGTCATTTTTTATTTTTTTTCCAACATCATTTAAAAGGAACATAAGCCTAAAATATGGCTGGATGCATATTTGATGTTGTAGTGCTCCATATTTAATATGCTGGAAATTCCTCCTTGGCACATTTTAAGTGGCAAAACCTGCTTGAGATTTGAACACCCATGTACACCTGCTTCAGCGTGTTATCTGCCTTCTGATTCCTTCATGAGGAATTCATTCCCTTTCCACTTCCTGAATTTGCAACATGAGAATTAGGTGCAATTAACCTTCATCAACACCAACATAACCAGTTTTTTAATATTTATTCTTGACCATGTCTTTCTAGATGTGATTTTTTTTTTTTTTTTGTAGTTATCAATTCTGGGATGAAGTGAAATTAGCATGATTGTTATCCTCTTCGAAGGAGCTGTGTTCAAACTGTAGATGTTTTTGTGTCCCAATCTGAAGTCGGTTTGGTTTTGTTTTCCACAGGTTTGGGCGTGGAAGGAGAATGTTTGGGAGAAGGAAAAAGGCACTCTGATGGAGCGGTACACGGTGGAGCAGAGCAAACCCCAGTCCCAAGGTGGCGCCGTCCTCTCCACCCTGACCATCAACAACGTCATGGAGTCTGACTTTCACTCTCCGTACAACTGCACCGCCTGGAACTCATTTGGACCTGGAACCATGATCATTACCCTGGAGGAGAAAGGTATGCTGGATCCTAACAGTGCTTGCTTACATAAACAGAATTAAAACCTCTTTTCAATCATCAGGATGTCCACGATTCACTGAATCGCAGAATTTTTTAAAAACTTGATTTCCCTGTATCTGTTACTACTTTAGCACTGCATGCTTAGTACTTGTGTGTTTTGGTTTTGAGTTTCATATCTGCACCAGAATGTTTTCTAGCAATCTGCAGAATTTTACCTCAGTTTTCTGCCATGTTCTCTTACATGCACTCAAATTCAATCTGTTTTTAACTGGTAAATTTGAGATTATCATAAGAGGGCTCTAAATCCTGAGGTTGATGTTTGATTTTGTTTGTAGGCATTTAAATGTCCACTATGAACCCTTTGCACAATTTTGAGATGTGTGCACACCTGGCTGCAATAACTGAGATTACATGTGGTGGCATTAAAAAAGACAAAAGACTTGGACATAAAATATACAACCTAGTTTTAAAGTATTTTACATTAGGTAGAAACAAATACTGGCATTGAAAATCTAATTGTTCATAATATTTGATCATAATTGCACAAAAATGTGAGTTCAAATTAAAGTAGACTAGTTCCACTCTAATATTCTATCAATGTTGGATAGAAAACGTTGACAGAATATTAAAATGTTCCATCAGAGATTTGTTGACTTTTCTGTTTTTATCAAAGATTAAGACTGATGTGATAAAGAAAATAATAAAAACTTTAGTTTTAACCAGTTCCCTTTTGAAACAGATGAAGTTGTGTGACTCAGACGGACCACTGCGTGTTCCTCGTCTTTTCTTGGTGGCTGTTTTGTTATGAAATCTCAGATCTTACATTATATTGGAGAAAATGGTTTCTCCATGCTCTGTCAGTCTGATCCTGCTCTTATTCTCTGCGCCGCTGCATTCCACAGGCTTTAGAAAATCTACCAAAACATCTCAGAGAGCGACAGAGTTTTGGATTTTTTCTTTACACACGTCCACTGAAAGCGTTTTCATCCCCTTGTCTGACGAGCTCGCCTTATCAACATAACCAGCCCTCAGAGATTCAGCTTTGAGCGAGGACACAAAAAAGGATTTTCCCTTAAAACTGAGCAGCATCCTCGTTAAGTTTTTGTGCAGCAGCGAAGCCGCAGCTGTCCCTCAACCCCCGACCTTCTTCTGCTTGTGTTCGTTTCAGATATTGTTCCAGTGGGAATTATCGCCGCTAGTACAGTGGGCTCCTCCATTCTGCTGCTTGTGATTCTGCTGGCACTCGCCTTCTTCTTCTACCGCCAACGCAAAGGCAGTGAGTTGAAAACTGTGTTTTTTTTTTTTATGTTTGTTTATGGACATGCTCACACTTACTCTGCCTGTTAGTCTGTCTTTCATCAACAACCCCTGCTCTGTCATTTTTATGTTACACGAAGTTAATGACATATGCCAGCAGCACAGCATTTTATTCAAATGAGATTAATGAATATTCATGCTATATGGCAATCGGCCTTAAATCGCCCACTTTATGTTTTCATTTCCTTTTGCTGACATTGACTTGCTTGATATTCTCTTGCCTCTTGCACACGCAGGATAAAGTGGCAACATAAATAAGAGCTCTGAAACAAAAGCCTTTAAAGGTGAATGGCATTTAAATCATGAATTTCTATATGTGTTATTTCTATAGCCAGCGGCAATCCAATTAGTAATTATGAGCACACACCACGCTTCGTCAAACCAGAGATCTAAAAGCCCTGTTGTGGCTTTCAGATGTTTAATTTCGAGCTGCTTCACCGGAAATAAAGAAACAGGAAAAGACGTTGAAGGTGACTGGCAGAGTCCCCAGAGGGATTTTCAGGGGATAAAAGTACATACTCTGGTTCAGAGCTGATAAACACGGCTACAGAAGAGATATCGTTCAGAAAGAGAAACTCAAACAAACATTGTCGTCTCTGCAGATAAACAGTCTCCTGTTTGTTGTCTGCGATGGAGCGCGAGACTTCACAGATGGGAATCTTTTCTTTTAAGGTTTCTGCCAGCGGAAGGGAGTTGCTCATGTTGGCAAACACTGAGTGTTCACTTGTGTAGACTTGTAAAGTGCAGTTCTTCAAAAATAACGAAACAATATTAAACCAATGGAGATTTTTTTAAACAAAATGTGATGCTTAGTTTGTAATTAGCAAAGAAAACGTATAATTCGGAATAGAAATATTCCATTTCAGCCTGTGTTTTTCTTTTGAGTGGCCCTAGATCCAGTATTTGCCATTTTGTTCAAACCTACTTCCATTTCCATAAACAAACCATGTCATATCCATGTATTTAAAGCTGTAGTATGTAACTTTAAGAAGTTTTTTGCATATTTGTTAAAACTGTCAATATATTCAGACAGTGTAACATGAGACAGATAATCTGTGAAAAGATCGATCTCCTCCACTTCCTAAATGAACTGCTATCGTCATCTGACCAAAAATGACCAATCAGAGCCAGGAGGAGGGGCTTAGTGCTGTCAATCAACCTGATGTACTCACTGCTCAATGTGCTAATGATGGAGAAACAAACCGCTGTTATAAATGGGCATGCTAACCAGCATTAGCATTCACAACAGACTCAGGAAGATGCTGCAGCATAGCAGACAGCCATGTGGAGTGGAGTGGATGATTGACAGCGCTAAGACCCTCCTCCTGGGTCTGATTGGTTGTTTCCAGTTAGCACTGGAAGCACTGGGGCGGAGGAGCTCGATTTTTTTCACAGATGCCAAACAAAAATGTAAAAAAAAAAAAAAAAAAATTATATAAAAGTTACATACTGCAGCTTTAACTGTTGTGTGTAAGTAAATTTTTTTCATAGTTAAGAATTTTGATGCATTTTAACAGATATATTCCAAAATAAATATGATTCAGTTTTGGGTTGTATTACTTCTTTTACATTGCACCATATTGTGAAAATTGTTTTTTTCCCAGGTCACCGAGGTGTCACACTCGGTAAACCAGACATCAAGGTAGAAACAGTCAACAAAGAGACCCACAGCCTGGAGGAGGAGGCAGCCAACGTCTCTACAGCAACCAGAATGGTCAAGGCCATGTACTCCGTAAGTAGACTCCCATCTGAGTCACCGGGGGCGGCGGAGAGGAGGCGTACGGGTCATTGGCCTTAAATGTACAAATACACAGACAGTCGGGGCGACAAGGCAGGAGGGGCTCACACACACGCACACACACACACACACACACACACACACACACACACATGTTTGCATGGCTATCTTTGTGGGGACTTTCCATTGACTTCCATTCATTTCTACAGCCTAAACCACCTTTACCCTTTTCCTAACCCCAACCATCACATACCTAACCCTAACCAAAACTCAATTCATACCTTAGCCCTAACTCTGACCCCTGACCCAAAAACAGGGTTTCCTCTTGTGGGGACCAGGCTCCGGTCCCCACAAGGAGCAATTGGTCCCCACAACGTAGTATGTCAGGAAAATCGTCCCCACAAGGTATTACAAACAAATAAACGCACGCACGCACCAAGGAAAAACTGAAAGCAAAAATAATCTTAAATGTCACACAAGGATAAGTATTTCTTTGAACCCCCATTCAAAGAAATTGCATACTAATATTCACACTAATAATAAATAAACAAACTTTAATGTATTTCTAGGAGATTTTACCACTGCAAGGTTCTGCATAATCGGGAAGTGGAAGGAAAATTCATGGCTTCACGTTTTGTATCAAGAAAAATCTGAAAATGCGGCATGCATTTTTATGTAACCTCTTTGCAGTTCCACATTTTTCAGGAAGTGTTTGTCGAAAACGTCTTTACCAGGATTTCACATCTACA